TCAACGTTGTCGTCTGGTACAGCTGAGGGGAGGCCCAGGAAGTGCGAAACTTCAATAGGGACTGTCCATAGGAACAGGGGATTTAGGGGACATGCCAAGAGGTGCCGTGAGTATGTGGCGACCCTTCGCATGCCGGGCATTGATTGGGCACATCTTCGTTGATTCTGCTCAGGTATTAGTTTAGACTGCCAGATCGAAGTTGGGCTTGTGGTGCGGGTCTCCCGAGGCATACAAAGCTCTGTCTTTTCCACGTCGGGTGGTTGGATGCCCAAAATGGCATTCACAGACCAAGAGTCTATATAACTCGAGACCGACTTCCTGTGAATGCCGTTTATGGCCTGTCGGCATGCTGTCGGACCAGAGGTTGTTTTATGAACCTCTGGACTTCGTCCGTCAATTCCTTAGCGAGGGCTCTGCTGCAATCAGGTATCTGCACGGGTGCCCGCGTCTGTGGCACCCTATTAGGAACTGCTTACAGAGCATTGTGTTGTGGTGCTTGATGGGGAGCATCTGGGTGGTGAAGGGGCGACATAAGAAGGATTCCAGTCGCGGTCCAGAGTGCTGTGTTCTGGTATGTCTGTAGCTTAGTCCACTGCGTTCTGCTGGTCCCCCGCGAATATAATTAGGACCGGCCGGCCAATTGCCATGTACATATGTTGTTGCGGCTCTTTATTGATAATTGCGGTTGTGTGCGCCGAGAAGGAGTGCAGACTGTCGAAGATATCTACAAGGATTTTCGCGTTATTTACCGTCGGAATTAGTTCGCCAACGACGTGACTACCCAACTGCAGCCTGACCTCCTTCGTCCAGATGCAAAAAAGGGTTGCCAAAGAATTTCGTAGGGGAGAGGGTTAGGCTCCTTGCAGCGAAGAAGCGAGAAAATTCGGGGAGCAAAGCGTTCCTTCCAGCACAAGTCATCAATGCCATTTCCATTCCCAGACGCCATTATCGAGCAGTCTTCAGCATAGGAGACAATTTTGACTCCCTCTGGTGGGTTTAGGGAGCTTTGATATATAGTAATCAAACAGCAGCGGGGAAAGGACACCACCATGTGGAAGGCCTTGTTTAATTTTCCTCGATTTGCTGGTCTCTATCACTGACTGACGAATGTCGCCCACTCAGATAATGCGCTGACCACCGTTTCAGTTCCTGTGGGAGAGAGGAAGCCTCAATGTCTTTTATTAGCGTGGACGGTGTCAAACGCCTTCGACAGATCCAACACTGCTAGGACTGTTCTCTCACAGGGGCGGTTTCGGTTTAGGCCAGGAGTTATCTGACTGTTTATGGCGTAAGTGCTGTTGTTGTGCTGTGTAGCAAGACTTAGGGCTGGTTTCTCCAATTCAACTCAACTTAGTTTAGCCACTTTATGGACTTAAGTCAAAAGTTAGCCTACGTTTTACACAGCTTATTCTTGACTAAGTCAATAAAATTGGCTTAACTAAGTTAAGTTGAGTTGGAGAAACCAGCCCCTAGAGTGTCTTCGCTACCGGGGAAAGGACAGTTATCGGACGATAAACTCTCCTTTGGTGGTCGGTTGGTTTCCCTGGTTCAAGCAGTGGGACAACTCATTCCATTATCCAGATATCCGGAGTGATGAGAGTGACCATAGACAGGTTTAGGACCTTGGTAAGGTCGCCTACACCCGCAGGACCCAATCTTTTTTCAGGATCAGCATGCATATTCCGTCGGGTCCTATGGCTATGAAGGCCTTCGCCTTCCCGATAGCTGCCTGAACCCGCTGGTGAAAGAAAGATACACACTAGCTGTTGGCAGTTTGTGCAGCCTTCTGGTCACTCGCGCATCGCTCCGGGTCGGAGGAAGCGTGGTAGCCGAAAGAGATTTCGGCTATGTCGTCACGCTTGGTCGGGTTGGACATAACCTTCACAAGTTGCTGAATCTCCTATTGAGATCCCTAATGCGGGGATTTCCGGGATCGACCTCACGAAGGTTGCCACGCTCATCAGCTAGAATAGCTGCATCGGCAGGAAAATTCCGTCGGGAGACGGTTTTCTCCTCGATCTTGCTCTGGATTCCGTTGCAGTTGAATTTTAAGATCTTTGTGTGCCTTGGGAGACTGATTGCAAAGTGTGCTTTTAGGGAGTTGTATTTCCTGCCGGCCCCTTGCTGTGTGTGCTGCCCTGTGGTTGTAATGGGCGGCGTCGCGGGGAAGTTTGCGACTGAGCAGCCGAGCAGGGACCCAAAGAGCAACTCGACTAATTTCGCGTGGTGCGCAGTCCGGAACTTGCCATAAAGTGGCACCAGCCAAGGCAGGAATTGCACTTGACTGATATCACGTTCCGGAATATTCTTGATCGACTCACCGAACAGATTGTAGGAGGGATTAGGAGTTGCCGGTGGCGGCGTGATGGTGGGGGTGCGGTTGTGTCCGTGTGTGTGTCTATGGTTGTGTTGTGTTGGGGTGTGGTTGAGTTGGTGTTGTATTGCTCGGGCACACTCCGGTGTGCCAT